TGATTAATATCTATGCTCCAGCTTGAGGGGGAGTGTTACTAACTGTATAATTAAAATAGGAAGTAAATACTAGGGAGATATGATTTACCTTGATTGTAGGACTGATTTGTAGGAATTTGATTAGTCTTCTTTCTTAACATATTCTTTCCTAACATAGAATTTGTAACTTGTATATATACATACGAGATGAATAATATAACAAATTCTTCTTCCTCTGTTTACTCTTGCATTACACACATGAATTTCTTTAACTTGCTCCACTTTTATTTCTTCTTGATCATTAACCTCAAGCAAATCATGGGTGTTGGAAACTCCAGCAATTTCTGTTTTTTCTTGGACTACACCCTCTTGATTTTTAATATCTACAACTTCTTTAGCTTCATCCTCAACTTCAACTCTAGGATAAGCATCAACATGCAAGGAATCATTTACTTTCTTTTCAACTTTGTACCTTCTTCCAATTGACTTCAAGTTCTTTGTTGTAACCTGTTGCTTCCTCTTTTGCTCGAAATTAGTCAACTCCATATATAGATCATCATGGAAGTCTAGTGGAATGTACTTCTCTTGCAAACACCTCTTCATCTCTGCCCATGTGCCAATTGGATCATCACCTCTATTTTCTAGCCGTTGCTCAAGAGTTCTCTACCATACTTTAGTATGACCCGTCAGCTTCATGCATGCAAATCTAATCCTTAGTTTGTCAAACATATCATGCCAATCAAAATATTCTTCTAGTTCAACAACCCAATAAAAGAATTCTTGTGGGTCATCATCTCCTTTGAAATTTGGTATTTCCCTTTCTCTTCTAACATGTTTGAAAACCTTACTCCATAGCTAACATTATCAGATCTGTTTTCTTCCACCATCTTCTCAATTAAGTCAACCAAAGACCCTAGAAGATACTCTAGGCCTATAGAATCGGTCACTTTGTGAGAACATAGTCAATAAACCATTAGCTCTGATACCAACTAATGTAGGACCAGCTCAGTTCTAGTCCTTGGAAAATGTGGATGGTCTTCTTGGATCAGAATTTTATGGCTATTGATGGCTGTAATGGTTTCTTGAAGGAATAGGAGAGAAAGAAGAGAGAAAATACCTGGAATCACTCACAGGGTGCCTAGAATCACTGTAGGACATGGAAATCACTCACCATAGCTAGCATAAACTGAAGAAAACTCAATAAAATTCATTGCCTTTGTGTAAAACGTCCATACATATTTATAGACTAAAATCATAATAATCCTAGGAGTTAAACTATTAGACTCATAGTCTTGGGAGTCAAACTGTTAGACTCAATAATCCTAGGGTGTGGCTTAAAGGAGTGGCCCCTAAAGTATCTAAGCTTACCCTTTTGGGAAGGAATAATTGAGAGGGTTGAGAAGAAATTGGCTACTTGGAAAAGGAATTACTTGTCGAAGGGGGGAGGGTACCTTTTATTAGGTCCACTTTGTCCAACCTACCAATTTACTTTTTGTCAATTTTTAGAACCCTAGGGAAGGTAGTGTCAAAGAGAACTTAATGTGAAATTTCTTGTGGGATGCGGGGGAGATAAAAAGGAGTACCTAGTGAATTGGGAGGTGGTTTGTAGACCTAAGTGGGCTGAAGGGTTGGGAAAAGGGAGGTTGTAGGAGAAAAATAAGGTGCTACTAGGGAAATGGCTTTGGGGGTTCCCCAAGGAACAGGAGGCTTTGTGGCACTTGTTGATCAAAAGTAGTTATTGTTTTCATCAAAATGGGTGGGACTTGGGTCCAGCCTGAAATCAGTCTTCAAGAAGCCCTTGGGATCAATTTTGACTTTACTCCCCACTTTCCTGCAGTATATAAGGTATGATGCCAAATCAGGTAATAGGATAAAATTTTGGGAAGACACTTAGTGGAGAGATGCTCCTCTTTCCCAAACCTTTCCTAGAATTTATAATCTATCCACTTTCAGAAACAAATCAATTGTGGAACTTGCTACTTTGGATGCTTTCAAGTGTGGGGTAGGATCTTGGTTTGCGGAGAGTTGTGAGGGATCAAGAGCTGGGCGAACTAATTTCTTTACTTGAAACCTTTAAGTGATGAGTTTGTTACCCTCGGAAGGGGATGAGAGAGTTTGGGCACCTACTGTTATTGGTCTGCTCTCTTTTTCTTCCTTTTTCCATTCCTTTGTCCAACCCTCTATTGATAGCTCTTTCCCTGCCAAAGAAATTTGGAGTGGTTCCATTCCCCCTAAGGTTAAGGTTTTCAGTTAGGAAGCGGCTATTCAGGTCATCAATACCCATGAAAGACTCCAAAGAAAGAGGAAGAATTGGTTCATTTCACCTCATGTTTGTATCCTTTGCTTGAAGAGTGGAGAGAGTACCAATCACCTTTTGCTTCACTGTTGCTTTGCTTCCTTTGCATGGCAGCATTTTTTGTCCTTGGAAAGTAGAAGTTGGAAGGCCCTGGCTGAGATTGGAGTCCTTTTCAACCCATTCTCTGGGGTTTGTGGAGTGAGAGGAATGCAGAATTTTTGGAGAAAAATATAAGAAACTGGAGGAGGTATGTGAACTTCTATCTATTAGGGTGGCTCATTGGGTTTCAGTTTGTGATGAATTCATAGGTGTTTCAGTGAATGACTTGCTAAGAGATTGGCAGGCAGTTGTGAGTTCTTATACCTTGAGACCAACAAGACTAGCTGAGTGGTTTCCACCAACAGCTGGAAGGATGAAATTGAACTGCGATGGGTGCTGTCTGGGAAATCCAGGAGAGTCAGGAGTTGGGGGTGTTGTGAGAGATGAAAGTGGTAGTATTCTTCTTAGTTTCTCAGGTCCAGTTGGACATGGGATCTCTCTCAGGGCTGAAATGTTGGCAGTAATTCAAGGGTTGGAATTGATAAAGATAAAGGGGTGGAAAGAAGTGGACATTGAAGGAGATTGCCAAACAGTTGTTTCATGGCTAAAGAACACAGAAGAAATCCTTTGGAAGATGAGGCCTTTGGTAAGACAGGCACTGTCCTTGGGGGATCTTGAATACCTCATTCACTTGGATTTCCAAAGTGCCAATTCTTTAGCTGACACGTTAGCTAGAGTGGGAGTGTCTAAGGATCATCTTGAGTAGGGTTGTTCAGGACCGGGATGTAATTTGTAACTTGTTATCTTTTGTCATTCTTTTTCTCTTTCTCAGCTCTAGCTGTATTCTTGGCACTTGCCTTTTGAGGCCAGTCTGATGTATTATGGATTTTCTTAGATTCTATTTAATGAATTTCATCTGTTACTTATCAAAAACCTTAAGAGTTAAAAAATTCAATGGAAAATATTAGTTGTAAAAACCAGAATACAAGGTGAGATATAGAGATAATATGGGATGTCGATCCAACATGTAGCAAAACAGGACTCACGTAGCCAACCTTTTATAGCTGAGACAAGGCATTGTAGTTGAAATGGACAGTAGATTGAACATGTTGCCAATCAAATGGGTCCTTTGTATGATGAATGATCTGGATTGACCACAAGACCCTTACATGTGGCAGAAATATGTGGATTCGCGTAAGCTGCAGGGAAGCTCCCAAATTGACCCAAGTGAAACTCATTCTATTGTGAGTCTGTTAGTCAGGTTGTTCAGTGAGCTTCCCTAAATGACCAAGAAATCTCACACATGGAAAAACTGTTTAGATCTCAAAAGGAGTCTCTCAGCTCCTCTCCCCACTACGTATTCATGAAAAGTTTCAGCCCAAAATGTTTTGTTGTATATGCAAAAATAAGCCCACCCTTACAGGTAAGTTTTACATTAAAAAGTTGGAACTTTGAATGGATAATATTAGTTGTAAAAATAACCAATACAAGGTGGGGCATATGGCTGACATGGATTGTGGGATTGAACCTGCCATGAATCCAGTAGGTCCCCTATCTGATGGACAGTCTGGACTCTGGATCAGCCACAAGATCTCTCCATGTGGCAGAAATAGATGTGTTTGGTAGAGAAGCTCCCTCCTTCACCCAACTAGTGAACCATTTTATGGTGAACTCTCAGGCAGACAAACATGAGAACACATGTTCAAGTCTGATGGCAGCCACTTTTTACAAAAATAAAATAAAATAAAATAATAAAAAAAAAACAGAAATTAGGCTCATATCAGTCCTACTATCCCAACACCCTAGATAGAAAGGACCAGCATTGTGCAACAACCTTTTTTATGATAAAAAGAGTAATTATGGATCCTCACCTTCTACCTAAGCCTTGAGGGATAGGCCCTGGCCAGCGCTTTGCCTGGCCAGCTAAAGGCCATGTCCTGACAAGAGCAGTTTGCCACAAGCATTCTCCTCGAAACAAAGAAGCCCATTGCTTCTTAACGCAAGATATCTGGCTCCACTCTGTTACAGGAACTCGGATGAAAATTTCTATCAGAAGATGATCAGGAAGCTTCCCAAATGCATTATCAAATAAAGCTACAGTATCAGTATTGCCCGTCATTGAGATTCTGCAGATCAAAAGGGTAGAGATCAGAATTTCCTTTTTCTTTTCTTTTTTTATTTCCTATTTGTAAATGGATGAGAGAGAGAGAGAGAGGTTTTATTTTCCTTATTTCAATTAACAGATTCAACTCTACTTAAAACATAAAATTTTATAATGTGCCACTTAAATTATTAAAACATGATTTGATAAATAAATCAAGAAAGATACAGAATGCTGTTAACAAAATGAGGATAACAAGGACATAACAATAACAACAAAAGAAACTGTAATTAGGCAGTTGCAATAAAATGTCCAAAAAAATGAACAGAAAGCAAAACAAAAAAGATATTCTACTACCTATTCCAAGATATTTAATACAAAAGTCCAGAAAAGCATTAGAAAATATTTTAAGTTAGATAGTTGCCCGCAAAAATTCAAGAAAACAAGGTAAAGGGAAAAAGCAAAATAAGAAAGAAAATGCAATATCCACTCCCTGATACTTGGCCAAAAGAAATTTGGAATTTTAGTATGCAGAATACACTAAAATACTTAAAATTAGGGATCATTGCTTGGTACAATGGTTAAATCTCAGGCTGACAGCATGAAAACGTGGGTTTTAGTCTAAGAGTAGCTACTTCTTGCAAGAAAATTCTAAGTTCAGGCATGCATCCAACCCACCACCACTCCAAGAATCTGATATAACCATGACCAAAATTGGGTAATGACCCTTATAGTAAAACACGCAAAAGTAAAGCTAAACCTAAAACAGCACTATAAGGAATCAAGGTAACCAAAAACTGCATCTGTAATAAAATACTCAATAAGCACCCTAGCAATTGCATTCTTAAACAAGGTGAACCCAAATCACATGTATCCGATTTGAATACTTCAACTTTATAACATTAAAAACATCAAACTCTCATTATGGAAACCCAAATATGCTTGCACAACCAAAATAGTATTTTTAATAAGAAATAATACAAATAAGATCACCTAGATGTGTACTAATTGCATCGCCCCATTCTGCTTCAAAAAGGAAACCTCACCCAAGCAATTCAAAAAACAAAAATTTGAGAAGGAAAATATAAATTAGATCTGAATTACCTCTTAAAATAACATGAAATCTACTTTCACTAAAATTACCGGTCAATCAAATCCGACGTGTTTTTTCCACACAAAACAACATAGAACGATCAATCCGACCTCAACCATATATACAATTTCTTTTTTTTTTGTCGCATTCAATTCAATCCAGAAACTCCTATAAAAATGAAATATTACATATACACCGATCAGCTTAGCTGATTAAAAAAAAAATCTATGCGTAAATTCTCACAAGTTAGACCGAAAATATGCATATAAGAAAAGAAGATTAAATGAAGAAAAAGAAGAAACCCAAAATTTTTGAAGCCATTGGTACTAATAATTAAGTAATTAAAAAAAAAAAGAATTTCAAAATGATATGAAGCGATTCGAGCCTCATAACAACAAACACAAGTGTTCATCAAACCTTATCAATTCAATACACTGAAGTTAATTACCAAGGAAACAGTTAATGGAAAATAACGCGAATGAACGATAAATAAGATCAAAGTTCAGTGGAAAATCAAATACCTGAATGAAGAGAAAGGGCTTTGAGTGCAGCTAGCAAAATGAAGAGATGGGACATGGGAACTCTCTGGTCGGTGGTCATTTAGAGGGAAGAACACACGTAAGCAATTAGATTTAGAAAATGTAGAAATAAAGATATGTTGTATCTTCGCTCCATCATTCTCAGTAGTCAGTACGCTCAATCAATTTAATCAAAGTTTTAAATTCAGATGCAAGGGTTACGATTTCAAGATCATCTTGAAATCTTTTATCTTTATATTATTTGTGTGACTATTAACGTCATCCTGGTCCATAGAGCGCTCACACCGACCTTACAGCTACTTCCCACCGTATACTGGGAACATCTCACATACACGATGGTGAATGCTATGAATTTGGTGTGAGGAGCGCTCTGTGAAGAGCATATCTCGACCCGATTTGCACCCATTAGTTAGGAAGCGGGATCTCCTCCTCATAAATGGGCGCTCACGAATACATCCACCGTGAATTGAGAACATCTCCCGTAAATTAAGTATGAGAGATGTTCTTAATGCATGGTAGGATGTGCGTATGAAGGTGTTAAGAGTAGATCCGATCTCATTAATTAGGGATGGAGGTTAGATTATCAATTCAGATCTATTCCAACAGCCATTGCAACTGTACGTTGAAAACATCCAACGAAGGACAAAAGAAATATTATTCCCAATGCACGGCTGCAAAGGCCGTTGGGATATGTCATTGAGACCTTGTTTTGGGATCTGATCCGAATTCATCAATCTCAGAGGTGTTGAGTGTGGGTCCCAATAGAAAGAGACATTCTCTCCTCTCCATATTGTGTGGTGCCCTGGTGCTTCCCATGATGGTTTCCAATGATAAAGTTTCGGTACGGTACCTTTCCTCTAATAACGATTCTTTGTTGTATCTGTATATAAGATTCCACTTACCTCGTTGTCCGGTGATTGATTTAATACATTTCATGAATGGAGGAGGTATAATTTGGATATGTATCAAGTTAGAGAAAAGGGAGCAATGGACAGCCGGGCAAATCAATTTTGTGGGTGTGGTGCCCCGTCCGGTGATTGATTGGATACATTTCATGCTTGAGGTGCCTCGTCCAAATCAATTTTCTCATAAATTAATGTAAATTTAACACGTGGAATTGATGATCACACCCATGGCTTAACTTCGACTTGTATATGGGTTGGTTGTATAATGGTCTATATTATATTAGTATGGTAGATACCAATCCACACCACAATTCGTAGTTATTTTGAATTATGGACAAATTTTATAGATTGGTCAAGTTCATACTTACAGTGGTGTTTTGTGGGTGTGGTGTCATACTTTTCGATTCCAAGTATCTCATATACAGTTTAAGAAGTAATGTATACAGTCGACCATAAATGTTTAATTTTTATAATTTATATGATAAATAAATTAAAAAAAGCATTGATAATTGAATATTAACCAATAAATGTTAATTATAATAAAAAATGTAATAAAATAATTAAAAATAAAAAATATATTATTTTATTGATAAAACATTAAAAATCAACATTTAAGCAAATGAAATAAATTATTGCAAGACATGCATCAAATTATTTATGCAAACTAATCAAAATAACAAAGGCACTACTATAAGACAAAATAGCATCAAAATATTAGTCCATTGGATCTCGTAATGGTTTGTAGAAAAAACCACTTATATTACAACTAATATTTAAATAGAAATAGCAAAAACCAATATTGTAAGACAAATATAGCATCAAAATATTGGTCCACTAGTTTACCAAATTGGTGTGTGGATAAAACCACCAATATTACAATTAGTACTTCAATATAAATAACAAGACCGCTATTATAAGAGAGATAAGAAGAATGCAAAGTATGGTACACCCACAACATGCAATCAACATAATATCCAACTTGTGTAATCCGGTATGCCTTCGTACTGCATGATGCCATATATGTTGATGATGGGCCATATAATCCTATGCTGTTCTGCAGGGATACCTAAGCATCTTGTTCAATAAATTCATCTACACATTGAAATGAATTTGGGTGGTTGTTCCATTTTGGGCAATGGAAAAACCATTGTCCATAATCGGTATTAGCTTTTCATAACTAGCTCCACTAGTCCCTTACCTGGTGTGTGCGTGTATGTCTGGCCATAATTATATCAATTTATCAATATAAATACAAGAATAATATATGATTAATTCACGCAAGCAAGGAAATCAAAATGTATTGTACCCCAAGTAAGTCCAAAACGTTTCAAACATATCCAATATGTTAATCATATTATCCAAAACTATAATTAAAACTAAAACTAAAACTATTCAATTTGGGATTGCTCCCACATTATATTTGCTATATTATCCCCAATATTAGTTATTTGTATATTCGTTTGTTCATTATCCTTATCATAATCACTTTCACTTGTTTCATTTGAATCCATGATATTCATGTCTTTTGCTACCCATCAATCAATGTATTTATCATAAATAGCTTATTGCTTAATAAAATTGTAGGTGATGAGGCATGCCATTATAAAAATGCAAATAGATTATATCAGATTCGAATCAGGGTTATTCGAATCCGGTCCAACATCATTAATTGTATATCCAATCCAATATGAAGATTCAATCGGATCTAATAAAACATGGATCTAAATTTGAATCCGATTGGGAAGTCGGGTATTCGGATATGATCCAATATAATTTGTTTTCTTTAAAAATTAATAAATAATTAAAAGAAAAGTAAAATATATCGATTTAAATAAAGAAAAGACAAAAAATACAAGTATTTTTTAATTACTTTCATCATATATGTACATGTTTTTATAAAAATACAAAATAAATAATATAACAAATTTACAAAAATACAATATAAATAATATATTTATAAATAAACAAATAACATATACATATATGTATTATATATAGCATATATATCGGATCATATATTCTCAGTTTGGATAGGGGTGATTCGAATCCGATCCAATCTTATCCAAATTCGACCAAATAGGATTATATCTCAGATCAGATCATGATTCGATCCATTTGCACCCCTATGCCATCACAATGTATCGTTGCATTCGTAAATTAAATGATGGCATATTTTGTAGGATAGGAAATTTTCCCTTAAATATCCCAAATAACATATCTATAACATTCCTTAGTAATAAGTGCTTGTAATTAAATAATTCCCTTTTAACTAAAATATTCTTATTTGCCCTTTAAAGTCATTTAGATGATACCACTCATCAGAATAAGGTATTAAATATCCAAGCCCATTGGAAAATTCAAATCACAAGATAATATTTCCCTACAAAAACCATATGCCATCAAATGCATTAGACATGATAAATAGACTTGTACTAACTAAAAATGTTAAAATCTAGGGACATGGGCAGATCCTTCCCAATCCACATAAATGAAGGTACATTTCATGTCAAACGATCATACAACCAACATGTTTATGGTGCAATGCAACTTCATCCCCCTATATGAGATTTTCTCATCCAAACGAACCCACACACTTATATGGGTATCATTAATTGCCCCAATACAATCCTATGTAGTCATATACATAGTCAATATATAAATAATACATGAAAAATATATAGGCACCAATGAAATACCTAAAACCACATCTCCAACTGTCTGATACGCAGTTGCACTTCTTCAAATGATAATGGTTGAATCAACTATCTCCCAAACCTACAAATTGCTTTGCAAATCCTCCTAAAGTGATTACTAATAATACTCTTGGAGTGTTGGAACCTACTTGCAATTATTCAATATCTTTCATTGTGACCAACAATCAAAAGAAAGATAGCAAGTAATTCATCCACTATGATATTTTGGTTGTCGGTAAAAAGCTACAAATTCTCAAGAGACTATCAAAATTTTTAAATACATGTTTCTCCATCCTAAATGTGTCGTACACTTTAGCCATTCAAACAATCTATGACAAATGCATGCCCACTCATTCTCGATGTGCAATATGGCTGTTTAAAAAAGTATGTGTTGTAGTATCTTACTACTCAAGTAAAAAAGACAAGTTCAAAAAATTCATCATCATCTTCATCCCATTTATTATTGAAAGGGATGTCGTTTATTTCATTAATGTCTATAGAATTCTTGAGAACATACACACATCAATTCTAATTAGGGGATGAAATATAATAGAACATAAGAAAACATAATGAATATGTAAAAATTAAACATAATAAATGTATAAAAAAAGGTTAACATAATAAAAAATGTCTAACATAAGAAAAAGTCACAATGTTATCCAATCACTCAAAAAAAGTTTGACAACAAAAACAAAAAAGACTTATAAAAGCAACATACAAATAACTCGAAGTTTTCCATGTATAAAGTTTCTTCAACTACTGAAGTTGACATTCAGATGTAATTGACATAAACATTTGTCTCCAATACTTTGTAGAGAGATTGGGCCAATGGGCCCTAGCCCATTATTATCTTATTGATTAGTTATTTATTGTTATTTTGTTCTTAATGAGACTTTAATTATTTGTATGTTTTCTAAGCATGCTGATGAGGTGGATGCCCACTTAAGGGCATACTAGTAATTTATGTAATATCAGTAAGATTAATGAAAGATTAGAGTGGAGAAAGAGGGGATTATTAAACTCCTCCTTCTTATTCCCTTATTCGCCATTCTTCATTCTTATTCTTATCTTCCTCTTTTGCTATAATCTGAAATATTTTACTTTTTTCTTATTTGTTTAAATCACATATTGGTATCAGAGCAGGTCTTCCTTCTCTTTTTATCTTTTCTTTTCTTTTCTCATACACTCCTCTAATTGAAAGGTGCATGGAGAAATAAGTTGCTAATTGTTTAGAAAACTTGTATGCCTAGTTGGTATATAGTTTAGAGAGTTAGAATTTGGCTATAGATTGCCAAGAAAGTGGGGTTGTTGATTTTTTGCCCAAAACCCTAATCGACTAGAGAGTTTCCAGTTACAGGTTAAAGAGATTGTTTGGGTGTGACGCTCAAGGCTTGGAGGGTTCATTTTGATCTCCAAAAGTGTGCAGTTGCAGTTGAAAGAGGTTTGGGAAGCTTTGATTGGAGTGGCTACTTTTTCTTTCTTTTTTCGTGGAGGCCAAGTATAGTGAAAACCTAGCTTTGGGACTTTTAAGTGTTGGATTGATCTCAGCTAGGTCTATAAAGC